GTGAAATTTTACGCACAATAATCCCCAAAAGAAGCTTGCAAGCAATTAAAACCTAATTTAAATTACAAATTTGTAATTTCCATTTTCTAGATTTCTTTATCATATGAAAAGCGTAATTTTTGTTTGTGAAAATAAAGTTGAAAAAAAAAGGATGAAATATTTACCCTTGCCGGCAGCTTTCTGCTTCTCCAAGTTCTTCTCGCGGGCCATCTTGGCCTTCTGACCGTTGCCTCCTCCCATGCCGTCTGGTAAATCGAGAGATAAGGAGGAGGAGCTAGAAACCCTAATTGGGCAATTGAGCTCTGTGCCTCTTAGGCGGAAAGGGGTAGGCGAGTTGATCAATTTATAGGCCACCATCTTCTGAGAAATTTTTAGTTGTGACGGGAACAAAAATAGTACATCATATATTTTAGTAAGATTGATAGAAAATTTTATTTTTAAATTTATTAATTTTTTAACATAAATATTTTATTATTTATATAATAATACGTAATGTATCATCCCATATATCAATCACACTAAAAAAATCTCCCAAGTCAAGTTTATATCTTTACTTTAGAAACTTCTGGATGAGTTTCCTTGTGTCATGGTATTGATTGCAAATTTGGTAGGTGGCGAGCGAGTCTATAATTACTGTGACACCTACGTCACGTGATCGACACGGTCTTAATGGAGTCCAGGCTTGTGGGCCCAATACCAGTTCAAAGCCACACCGACCGGCTTCGTTAGTTTGGTCTAATTGAGGTAAATTTAGTTTTTTAAATGGATATTATTAATATAATTTTTGTGAATAGAATTATTAATTAGAGATGTTATTGGGTGAATTTAAAGTAGATTCTTAAGAAGTTTGAAAATCAACTCCTTGTAACTTTGTATCACTTGTAAGTCAAGAAAATTCATTATAATTAATATAAATTGACACGTGACTCTTAATATAAATTAACTCATAAAATGGTGCAGGTCAACAAAAAAGCTACAAAATTATGGGTTATTTTTTTTTTTAATGTTCACGTGGGATTAAATTGAAGTGTGATTCTTAATACAAATTAACAAAGATTGTCACAAAAAAACCTGTCAAATATATGAAAGTGTCTTATAATTCTCACTTTATGTATGACATTAGAACGGAAAAAAACTTGATCTATAATATGATATTTGAAGAGTTAGAAAATGAGAATTACCAGATTGGTACATTTTGAAAAATGACTTTAAATTTTGGGGTGGAGATGTAGTTTAAAAGAAAAAAGGGGACAATCCGTCATGATTCATGAACAGAAGAGTCTGCGTATTGCGCGGTAATTACCTTCAGTTGAACTATTGAAGTGCCGACGGATAACCGAACTTCCTCCCGAAACGACGACGCATCCAGCTTCGTCTACAGTTGTACTACTGAGAGTCACAGGCTTACAGTTATCACGCAGAGAGAGAGAGAGAGAGGGACCAATCCGCACCAATGCCTCCAATCGCCGAGATCCAAAGCTTCTCGCTCTGATCGATTTGAAGAAGCCCCGAATCGGAATCAATGGCGGTGGTGATTGAGAGCTCCGTTTGGGAACCGAATCCCGGCGTATACATATTCATCTTCCTGGCCTCACTCTTCTCCATCCTCGTCTTCCCTTACGCTTGCAGCAGCAGCGGCGGCGGCAGCTCTGGCAAAGCTCCGTCGCTCTTCGACCATGGAATCTCCCCCACCGCTTCCTCTCTTCGCTTCCAGCGCAACTTCCTTCTCATCTATTCTCTCGCCTCAGGTCCGTACTCCTAACGACGTCGTTTATTATTCCCTTCCACCTCCAGATAGATCCTCTGTTTCGTAATTTAAGTTTGAATTCAGCTTGTTTGGTTGCCGAGAAAATTGAACTCAACTTACTTAGAAAAGCTTCATCTTTAGATTTTTAAACTAAAAATCGCATTTTGATTAGTAATTTAGCTATTAAATTGCAATCACTGATCGGATAATTTTTCACTCTATGATGCCAGTGATGGAAGGATTGTGGTCTGTATTTGGCGAGTTCGAATTAGCTTACTACGGTTTCAGCAGAGAGCAAATGATGTTTTCTCTCTGTGTTGGATTTGCTGCGTCTCTGTGTGTTGGTTCTTTATTTGGCGTGCTTTCGGATTTAATGTTAGTGTCGATTTTTAGCTAAAATTTCAGCCTTGTTTCTTGCTTGTTACTCAAATGCTTGATGTTAAACCCTTATCGATTTTCCTTTCTTGTTTTTCTTACTTTGTGTAGAGGTCCAAAGAAAGTTTGCATCCTCTTTTGCATTCTGCACCTTTTTCTTGGCTGGTGGAAGAGAATTACTGATCATCCGAGCATTTTGTTGGCGAGAATTTGTTTGTCACTTGCAGCTTCAATTTTTTCATTCAGTTTTGAGACGTGGATGGTGGTTCAACACGAAGAGGTTGTTAAGAAATGTCGTATTTCACATTTGATTTGTGTGTAGAAATTATTCTAGGAAACGAAGTGATTAATATATAAGCTTTGTGTTTGCAGCAAGGACATAGGCAGGATATGTTGAGTGAGACGTTTTGGTTAATGAGTTTCTTTGAGTCCGCGTTTCTTATTGGAAGCCAGGTGCTTTCAAATTGGCTCATTGGTGATAATTTGGAGAAAAACATGGCTTCACATTCTACTGCAGCCATCTTCTTGGCAATGGTAGGCTTAGTCTGCCTCCTCAGAGGATGGACACAAACCCCACAAAAAGTAGCTCTTAAGGAGTATAGAGCGTCTTTCTCTGCATATATTTTTGGTGGTAAGTGTTGCATTTTGTATTTAAACGTATGTCTACTTTCCTTCTTAATATACTCGAAACAAATTATACTGCTTCAATACATTCGTTATGAAAATTAATCAGTTATTTAATGAGCTTGATTGAGACTGAATATCTAATCATTTATGATTTGTCAAAGTTAGATGTTTGCCTCCATTCATGAGGACCAAACTCTTATTTGCTTTGTACTTTATTTCTTTCGTTGTTTACATTTGCCTCCATTGATACTCATTGTTTATGTTTCACCATTTCTTTACCATCTTAAACAGTTAAGTCATTGATGTGATGCCATCTTTCCTCTGATAGGATGAGTGCTTGTAGAGCATTTTCACACTTTGTATGTGGAACTTTTTTTTTTTATAAAGGTCCCCGTTTCTCATGACTGATTATTTGCTGGTTAGAGGTTTGATTATGTGATGTGTTATCATATGAATTTGCGGTTTATTCTTACTGTTGCAACTTTATACGATGGCCAGATAAAAGAATATGGCTTTTGGCATGGGCACAAGCTTGTCTTCACTTCTCTATAACAGTCTTCTGGATACTATGGGCCCCTACAATAGTGGTATGATTATCTAATAATTTAAATCAAACTATTTAATAGAAGTGAAAGTCACCTTGCTTAATATCTTAAGGACTTTGAAATTTACACTAATGAGATTCTTTTCTGTCCTCCATAATTTGAACAAAGAATTCTTTCTTCCATCCTAGTTAATTTAAAAGATGGATTTTAAGTTTTGGACCTTAAATATCTCTTGAGACTTGTGAGTTTCAGTTTCTTCTCGAAATTTTATTAACATGATTTTAGGCCGATGGACGGGAAGTGCACCTAGGGTTGATATATCCATGTTTTATGGGCTCAAGAATGCTTGGAAGCACAGTATTTCCATGGCTGAATAGTGGACTGTCGTCCCTTAGAACTGAGGATTGCCTAGTATATGCATTCATCATGCTGGGGCTTGTATTGTCCGTAACAGCTTATGATTACCAGGTGAAGATGTTTTTGGAAATTTAAGAAAGATAATCATCAGTCCTGTTTGATGCTAGTTGTTTGGAAGTTTAAAATTTTAATTGTTGAGATGCAGGAAATTGGAGTTTTAACGACACTATTTTGCATATTTCACGCTGGTCTTGGTGTGGTTTTGCCTTCACTTGCCAGATTGAGGACCATGTAAATTAAACAAATGCTCTTTCTTTCTTTTAGGTGATTTCTTCTCTCAATTTTTGTTACGTGGATTTTTTATCTGATAGTTTTCCTGCTTTTACTTGTTTGTTCACAGGTATGTCCCTAATGCACTGCGTGGAGGGATGATAAGCCTTTCTCAAGCTCCTGCAAATGCAGCAATTCTGCTTTTTCTGGTGCAAGTGAGTGTCTTTTCCTAGGATCACTTTGACATAGAAAAGAAAACATACGGTTAAGCATCCCCACCTGGCTCAGTGTGTTGACGTGGGCTACCTGTTGTTGAGAGCATCCATAGTAACAGAAGTTCTTATTTAACTGGTAAATTCGACCATGTAGTTTTATTGATTAGTTATCCATCCACTCACTTTTCTTGCTACTATTTTATTGATGCAGGGAAAATACTACTATAACATTGGGAATTCAACAATCATAGCGTTTGCTGCGCTTGGGCTATTCACAGCAGCTGGTTGCATGCATGTCTTGAAGCGATGGGGGAAGCAACCGTATCACAACTGGCACAAATTGTGATTTTTTTGCCTAATTATCACCAGATTATCGGCTGAGTTGGAGAATACTTCATTTAGTCTCTGACCATCACAAATGAAGTGTTTAAAGAAGAATTTATGTCTCTGAATCCAGACTGAGGTATGCCACTATAGAAAAGTATGGGAAACATAAATATTGAAAAAAAAGTGTGTAAGATTAGATTGATATGGTCTTGTATACTCCTTAGGGTTCAACTGAATGACTGCAGGGCGGAAATCAATTATCGGTTCCTCATCTCTCAGTTCAATTCAGCTTGCCAAATCCATCTCAGCCTCTTAAATTTCAGGACAAGTCTGCTGGTTTGGAGAATAGCAAGGAATTTACATGTTTACAATCAGATCTTACAAATTATTACCGGCATTGTTGCTGTTTAGGGATTTATAAACCGACGGTAGCTGAGAGCTGCAAATCTCCGCCATCCTCATCCCGAAGGTCAATTTTTCAATTTTTTGTGTAGGTTGTAACATTTGTGCCCTAAAGTGACATAATTAGCATTATAATTTAGCAAAATTGTACTTGCTGTTATTGCATGGAACTGAAACAGAATGGAATTGTCAAAATTCTTTACTTTTGTTGCATAATACATCTTATTTGTACCGGCTACATTTCACATATCTGGCTTCAAATGAAACCTCCTTCTCTTATTTAATTGAATTGCTAGATGAGATACAAGATGTCAACACGACGGAAAATTTCTCGAGACTCCGATCCATACCGAAACGAAGGCTCTTACACGAAAGACCCCCGCCGCTGGCTGAGGTTGTGCTGTTAATGCTCAAGTGAGGATGAAAATTTGAGCATTATACAACAATGCTATTAGCAACTGCAACTAATCCTCTTGTTCTTGATCCCTGATCCACTTTGTAGCTACCCATTTTTCCCCTTCGATTACAGGACAGCTCCCGTGTAACGCTAACTGCAGAGGCATCAACCGAATTCCGAAATTAGAATGGACGAGTAAACAGTCATATATAGGAACGTTTAACTGTTACTGCTTCGGTTCACAATGCATTGTACGCCGACAAAATAAACGAATAAATTCTCTCAGACGGAATGATATACAGCAGCAGCCGGGATAAATTTCACGAGACAAGCTGAGGAAAACGTCGTTTCTTAATTTTTTACGTCGATGATTCTGGAAATGATGGTAATAATAGTGACAATGGGAAGCAAAGCAACACTAACCGGATCAATTGTACCATTTGGGAGCAATGAATAAAACAGAAGTCCATCCCCTTTGCGTGGCTTCACTTTCAGGCCAACACATTCCCGAAAATCATAGGTTCCATCCGTGTTTGAGCCATTCTGCAGATCAAAAGCCGGATGATCGATGATGAACAAACCAAAAGGGCAATAAGAAAAACAGAGGTCTTGATCTTACCTCATATGGAAACATGGTTTCACCGCCTTCTTGAACTTCAGTTAAATACAACAAGAACGATGCAACCTGCACGAGTTCAAATAAGACTCTTTAAAAGCTTATGGTAAATAAACAGTATAATTCTATCAAATCCACAACTTGATAATGGTACTATTTGAAAGAATTCTAGTTCTCGTATAACATCTTTTTGTGAAATAAGACATGAAGACCAACACATCCTTTTGGTTTCGAACTAGCTAATCCAATTTATCCAGGGAATATACTCCGATACGTTTGAAGTGAGTACAGAATAACGGACTGTGCTTTCCATCCCAACTGTAATAGTTGTGCAAATGTACAGGGAAAGAACATTAAGGTATATCTTTGCCTAGTTTTATCTGGATGTGGGAGTGCAAGTGTATCGGTGACATACAAGCACAAACATTATGATCATGAAATCAATAAAGGCCAAATCAAAATACATGCATTACGCTGAAGATGTACCCTTTGGCTCTTCTGTGGACCGTATTGGTCAGGGTGGAATGCATCATAATGAGAATTATACTTCTGCCCGATCTCATAGCGCAAGACGTTAAATGCCTGAAACATGATGATATCCTCAGCTCAGACAATTTTACAAACTGGCCTGAAATAAAAGGTTAACTAATTCAACAAAAGGGTCAACGAGTTTCAGCAACACAATACGATATTACTTATTATGTTTCTGTTGGGTGGTGGGAACGTAACAGAAACACACAGACAAGTGAGAAACAGAATAAAAGAAAAGCGTTTGCAAAAACTGGTTAGGGTCATCCTCCGCCATAAACTAACAGAGGATTATTTTGCAACAACCGTCTTCCCCCAACTCCATTATCCCTTCCTAACCCAGTTTGTGCTTGCAGAACATTTACACTTGCAAGTGCAAGGAATAGAGTTACTTTGGCAACACAACATACGATATTTAACTTCACGCTGTCAGCTTGCACATAATTGAGAAACTTTCACAAAGTATTGCTTACAACGAAACAAGATGAGTCAATATGATTTTTGTGTAGATATAGATAGGGAAATGAGGAGGATGTAATCATAAGCTCTAAACTCTAACTAAATAGTACCTCTCCATGTATCCTGGGAAGCATTGTAGCCCTTGCAATCTTTTCCTCAATTGCATCCAGAGTCCCGGATTTATCATCAGAAGCGGAAAGAAACATGCCGGAACTGCTTCAAAATACCATGTAAGCATGAAAGTAGCATCTATAACCACTCATCTTTACGAAAACTACTTACATGTGAACCCGATCACATTAATGCTATTAGTTATAAGCTTATATCAACAATCAACCACAAAAATGGGACGCGTAACGAGTACTAATAGTACAAATCCTGAAAAGGGTTTGCTGATTCGCCACACCAAATGTTGAGAATGTACCTTGTTCGTATATCCCTTGTGCTCTCCTCTGTCTCTCCTTCTCGCAAGGCCAAAGTCGATGGTTTAAGGTGTGGCTTTGCCAAGCCAATTATGCTTTCGCATTGCTCCGGAGTTGCAAAATTAGGAAAATATAATGCTCGGGGATACCAACTCAAGACCTAAACGGTTCATATGCCCCCATTTCTGGTTAGCTTAGCTAATGAAAAATTCAATCTTTGATCCCACAAAATTGAAACAACTCCTAAATGGATCAAACTGTTCATAACAATTCCAGCAAAACAGATATACAAATAAATAAATAAACCAGAAACCTGAAAGGGAATGGAAGTTAAAGAATCGTCACCGGTCTCTCCATAAGGCATCGAAGTGTACTCTGTTTCTAAAAGTCTAGCTCTCACTCTCAGCCTACCACCACCACCACCGACATCCTGCAAAAAATTCAAAGTTTTCAAAAATAATCTTAGTCACTTTTGAAAATTTGAAAAACCCCCTTAAAGTTCTTGATCGGAAGAAGGAACCCCAAAGAGGAAAAATGAAAATTTGACCTGAGAGAGGAGGGAGGAGCCATAGAAGCCGGCAAGGAAGAAGAAGGAGCAGAAGATGAAAGTAGTGGGCAACCCAAGTTTGCCCTTGAACTTGAACTTGGAGCTCCAATTCCCTTTACCGCTTTTGGGTCTCATTGGTAATTTTACTACTCTTCAATTGCTGCTGCTGGAGAATTGGTGGCTTCTATTTGGTCTCTTCTGCCGTGGCCTTTGAGTAAGCAAACCGTGTTCTTTAAATCTAATTGCACGCACGGCACGGCGGGATTTGGTGTTAAAAAAAAAGACTGAGATTTTGTGACAAACAGGGATTGTGATTTGAATTATTTACCAAAATTATTGGGGGCACAGTCAATTTGTAAGATTTGGGGTTTGGAGATTTGGAAATTGGAATCCAATGGTACTAGGAATATTAGTTGGTGGGGGAGAAAAAATTATCGGCCTTGCCTCCTTTTCCGCAAAGTGCTGACATCCAAAGTCTTATTGTTTTTTAGTCCATAAGCATCCAAAGTCATTACCCACAGAATTGTGCGTTTCTAACAAAATTGGTGGGCAGTGTGGTGTGGAGCATGTTTTTCTTTTTGCTTATGCGGTTTCAGTTTTTCCACTTTCTTGTGGAGATTTCAGACTAATTGAGTTCACTAACCACGCTGATATCGTTCTCTAACTTGCATCTGACCGTACAACATGACTTATATAATGTAATAGTTTCTTAGTTTAATTAAAAGTAAAATTACTCAATACAAATTATATGTAAATTTTCACTTTATTGACGTGGTATTTTTGTATGTTTCCAACATTTCTCATTGCAATATGCTCACTATTCTTTTTTTCTTAGGAAATTGGGCTTAGAGCCCTTACACAAACTTACCGACGAAATGTAGTTTTGCTCTCAATGCAATGTCTACTAGTCTTCTTTGATGAAAATGCTCTCAAGTTAATATCTTATCAACACATATTAATACATTATCGACACAATATTGATAATTATTGACATAATATTTTGCAGTAAGAGACTTTTAATTTGAGATATTTTGTCAAAGAGGGCTAGTAGATTGCATTTTGAGAACATGGTTTATTTTGGTTGATGTATTTGTAAGGGGCTAGTACGCCCAATTTCTCCTTTTTTTCAGTGATCAAGAGTGATGCTATATCCAGTGGCGGAGCAAACAAATTTACAATGATGGGGTTAAAAAATTGTTTTCAAAAATTCGACTGTACTTTCATTTATAATTGTTCAGGACGTGTTCTCATATTTTGAAAACATCGTATCACAACATCAATATCAATAAAATCAATACGTGCTTGATCCAAATGCTTGTGGTCAATTGTTAGAATACGTGTGTTTGTACCATACTTGACCAATTCCGAAACTACTAAGCACCGGTCAACGTTATACCGTCAAAGACCCAGAAGAGTTTCCCTCAAACCAGGAGACCAATCATAGTGCGATACATGTCGACATCAGAAGCCAATCATAGCGCGACATGTGTCAACATCAGAAGCCAATCACAACACGACACGTGTCAATGTCAGAATGAAACTAGAAACTCTCTTCTATAAATAGAGATCATTCTCTCATAATATTTCCTAATGTCATTTGTACTAAATCATTCACTAGTACTCACTAAAGGAGAGCTTGAACCTATGTACTTGTGTAAACCCTTCACAATTAATGAGAACTCCTCTACTCCGTGGACGTAGCCAATCTGGGTGAACCACATACATCTTGTGTTTGCTCCCCTGTCTCTATCCATTTGCATACTTATCCACACTAGTGACCGGAGCAATCTAGCAAAGGTCACAAACTTGACACTTTCTGTTGTACCAAAGTCCTCACTGATTTTGTGCATCAACATTTGGCACCGTTTGTGGGAACGACACTTATTCTCACTCTCTTCAGCTTTGTTAAGTTGGTTTCCACCATTCGTACACTCTCTTTTGACCTGGCATCCCTCTCCAACATGGGGAGCGAAGGAAGCCACAACACACAGAATGACACCCCTCTTGCACCTAGTGCGAAGCAACGAAAAAAGGAAGGAAAGAGGGTTGCTCTTCAAGCTAAAGTCGATGAGCTAGAATCTCAAAACAACAAGATAGCAATGAAGAATGAGGTCCTTCAAGAGCAGTATGAGAAGCTCTTTGAGATGCTCCACGAAACTAGACGTACTCAAACACACAAACTCGTTACCCCTGTGGACATCAACCATCATCTGGATGCCTCTTAACAAGGAGGGTCACCTTCCTTCGACATGGGTATCCCTGATGAAGAGTGAGCTAATCATCAAAACATTGATCAACATAAGACTTCTCTCAACTCAGCTGCTTCGACCTAAAGTAGGAGAAATGGAGGAAGACACCTCCTTGCAAAAAGGTTGGAAGGATCGAAAGTCGTTTATCGTGACTGCTGAGACTTCCTAAAGCAACGTCGAGAGAATCCTCTCCATATAAGCTCGAAGATCAATGACCCAAGGGTTTCTGAAAGACTCGGTCCCCTCCCACGTCCCATGCTGGCTACCAATTTAGGGAAGGGGCAACAAGTCCCAAAGAGACATGAAGGTATAGGGGACTCAGAGATGTTTCGACAAACATACCTTGAAAGTCAATACGGCGAGACCAAGGAAAAATCACATGTTCTTGATCAAACCTTCCTACTTCCAAGAGGAGATGGAAATTTACGAAAGAAAGCTCCAGTGGTACATGACTCCACTTAGGACCCTCTTGTCCTACAGCTTTTTAAGGAAGTAAACAAGTTGAAGGCCGAACGACAAGCTGAGATACCTGATTGGAACCAACCTAGGCCTGACCCTCTTACAAGGAGGATCCTCGACACCCCTTCCAAGCAAAGACAAAGCAGAAGCTTGGCTTGCAACTCTATACTGGAAAGGAGGACTTGATTGAACACCTTAACCTCTTTAAGTCCACCATGGCATACCGGATGCATATCAGACGAAGAGCGATGCCTTCTCTTCCCTTCCACCCTCTCTGGCGGAGCTTTAAACTAGTATTGCCGTCTCCCACCAGAGACAGTAGACTCATTTGAGGAATTGAGGAAACTGTTTGTTTCTTAACACATTTTCCAGACCGATCGCTTGCATTCTGCAGATGACTTGTACACTATTCGCCAGAAGCCGGATGAGTCACTACGAGAGTATGCCGGTCGCTTCAGCCATGAGTATTCTCGCTGCGTTGAGATAGATGATAAAACCACCCTCAAAGCCTTCACGATAGGCCTACATGATTGTTTCTTCAAGTACATGATCAATGCCAACACTTGGAAGACTTACTTTGAGGTGATGGCACAGGCTTACAACCATGCCTCCGCCGAGCCAAGGACATATCAAGGGAACCCCCCCCCATCCACCCCTTATCAGCAAGTAGGGAGTGGAAGCTAGGTCCAACCAAATGAGAAGACCTCGACCTTCCAAACGGCAACGGTACCTCCCCCTGCCTTACTTAATACTTTGCCAAGTCAACAGACATATCAATCTCAGGGCAAAAGGAAAGATTTCCATCCTCACCAGTCTCATTTTAGTAAAAAGAGTAAGAGACACTACCACGATAACCAAGGATATCGCCACGATAATCCCCGACCCTAGGCAGTCAACATAGTGGGTCAAGCACGTGTCAGGACAGCCTCTACCCCGAGGTATGAGGCATACACACCTTTGAACGCCATATGCGTGGCCATTTACCCCAGCATAGCACACCTGATATCGAAGACAAAACTGAGGCACCCGAATTACAAGTCCACGAAGAACACGGGCACGTTTTGCTGCTACCATGAGTATAACGGTCATGACGGCGGTAAGTGTATCACCTTTCGTGATCATATTGAAGCTTTGGCAAGTGGAGGAAAAATTGATCAATTCCTCATTCACCCTCCAAGGGGTAACCGTAACCAATGCCAGGGGAATGTGATATATTCCATAAGTGGTGGCACACCCATATCTAAATCTTCCAATAGGGCCATGAAAAATAGTGAACGAGTTTTAAGGTCTGGCCACCAAGTGTTTCACGTGGAAGACATCAAGGGAGGCAAGTATCAAAAGCCTAACTGGGATCCAATATGTTTCTATCCTAAGGAAGAAAAAGGTATCATCTACCCTCACAACAACCCACTGATCATGGAAGCTTACATAGCCAACTTTGAA